AAAAAAAAAAAAAAAACAAATAGAAGACCATGTTAAAAAATGTTCTGGGCCCTCTACAGGAAGTAGAAATTCAAGTGCACCAGTTAAAACTATTTTGTAAATTCATTTTGCTGTTGTGGTGTCTGGTGTTATCAGCTCCGTGCTCACCAGTCATATTTGCTATAGGAGCAGGGCCGGTCCTAACCAATTTGGTGTCCCGGGCGAGATTTCAAGAGGTGCCCCTTTTCTAAATCTCACTGCATATTTACACACACTCACATACTAAATTAGTTTTGTCTTCGATATTATTATTTTTATTTCTAGAAACAAGGTTGTCCAATTAAAATAGTTAACAATATGATTATTTTCATAATACTAAAATACTAAATACTAAAATTACATAATATCAGAAGTCTACCACATATTGCCAACATCTGATGACAGCAATGAGGAAACACCTTGTCATGTTAACAAACAGCTGTGGAATGAAGCAGTTGTAGTGGGTAAAAGATCTACTCAAAACTAYGCATTCAAGAGAATTTTATCTGTAGGGGGGCCTACATATCTAWTTCTTTGGAATTAATAAAACAACACAAATCATTATTTTATGAAGGTAGGACACTGAAAACCAGACTTTAACCTGAACTTTATCTGCAATTAYAACTGAAACTTCYATTATTCTTATTTTGTTTTCTATTTACAGACTGAGCACCTGYAGTTAGCTTTGACTGCATACTTTGAAATATCCTCTGCACCGTGTAACACCTCATGTAGCAGCAAAGCAGGCTGAGAAACCCACAGAACAAGTGACCTTCATAAACCCCAATAATCTGTGATTATTCTACAGATTTAGTCAACTATACTCAGATAAAAAGTAATAAAATATATTTTTTGTCYCCCATTTGTGGTGTCCCGTAGAWGGATGGCACCCGTAGCATTTGCCTTTACTGAGGCAGCTCTGTGTAGGAGAAATAAGAGAAGCAGAAACATAGTTGAGAAAAAATGCAATAAAATTGTGGTTTAACTGAAAAGTACAGAGTTGATTGCAGAACACAGAACACATAATATCAGTCAATATTTTCCTTTTTTATCCAAATCATTTATTAGGTAGAACTTCTGACAAAATGTAAAAAAAAAAWATACATTACAATCCTGAGGCCAACTTGAACCATTATTATGAAAGTAGTTAAATTAAGTGCAACTGTGTGTCTCTTAAAGTAAAATTTGATTTTAGTTGTTTGATGCTGCTTTTTTGCATGCTTAACGTTAAATTCAGTGGGCTGATTTTTTACTTTGTTTTTCTTTTWTGCAAAATGAGTTTAACACATGTTTCCTTAATGTTATTTTAAGTTTTGTCCACTGTAACATGATAATAAGCAAAGTGCTTTTGTAAACCGAATAAATGCACAACTGTTTATTCATGACTCAAGCTGCATTCAWATTAGGTTCAGGAAAGGGATTTTTCACATTTGCATGCAGATTACTTCTGATAGAAAATATATGATTACTTTATTTAACATCACTGAAAGCTGTCTGTGTGGAGGCAGAAGATAAGTTTAAAATATAACAAGGTAATACTGAGCTAGTTACATCCACCTGCTTAAATCTACATTTATATGACTCTGCAGACCACAAACAACCTGCAGATCCAGACATAAATATTTGAGAGTCAGGGAATCCCCCCCCCCCCCACACACACACACACACATCACATTTGACAGTTTTTACTTCTTAATCAGATTTACAATAAATCAAAATTTTTATATATTTTGAGTAAGCTATAAATCTTTTTTTTTCCATTCGACTGCCATCTAGTGGAAGTACATCAGACTAATGTTCAAAATATTTGACCAACTTTGCCTGCAGAGTCAGGAAGAGATATTTCAAAAAGGGAAGTGTTAACTTGACTAAACAACAGAACAAAAACTGTGAATGTGTTGAAATGCAAAGAAATAGTGGATTTCATAAACTATGAATTCTGGATATTTTGTGGGAACAACCAGAAAGCATTAAAACGTTTTGACACTGAAAATACCAGAACTGTTCTTAACATATAGGAGACAAACATATACAAAAATATATATATTATAAAGTCAAGGATTAAGATATCAGTGGGAGAGGCTCAAATCAAGTTCAAAGTATTTTATTTATTTATTTATTTATTATTATTTATTTATTTATTTATTTTTTGCTGAACATAACTAAGAAGAAGTGACATCCTGTCCAGCATGCATCATCTAATTAAAGTTCTGCCTGTGCATCATTTAAAACTATGAAAAAAATATGCAATAAATAAATAAACAAAAAACAAACTCTGACTTCATTACTCCAGATATTGGCACAATTCACTAAAGATTTTACTGTTTTTATTTTTTTCATAGAGATATGAAATTGTAAGATTTAATACTTAAAGGATTTTTCCTCTTCAACTTATTTGATGAGATGGAAAAAATATTAGATGTACACTTTAACGCTTCTGGAAATTTCTGCTAACCAACATAAAATTGAATTGAACTCATCTATGTAAAAGCAGAGTTGGTGGCTGAACTCTGCATCACAGAATGCAAACAAAACTGAGCAGTAGTCATTTTTACACATTGATGGCAAAATGTCAGTTACAGAAAAAAAACATTACATCCTTGAATCTTGATGAAGAGAAAGCAAATAACTGAGCTCTACGCTCTTATCTCAAAAACCAGACGTGTGTTAGGCCACGCCTCACATAAAACACATTTACAGTCATTTTGTGAGATGTGTATGGAGACCAGGCTTGTTTTTGTTTCTGCAAGACCAAATCCCATGAATCCTAACAAATTGGTAAGAAAATCTTCATTTTAAACTCTTTATATTTGATTTTATAAAATGTCAGGAATGGATTAGTTTTGCAATGTCAAATTACTAGAAAAAAAGTTTTAATTTGTTTGATTTTAAAGATGTCACTTGGTAACTTTTTATTATTTTTTTATTTTTTAGTGACCGAAGATGTTAAATTTGGAGCTTGTCATTCTTTTTCTGTCTTTGCTGCTTCACTTTTCATCGACTCAAACTGAGGAAATACAAGAGAACCAGGAGGTTTTTGGCAAATCTACCACAGAAATCCCACGCTCTCTGAGACCTGGTGTGACTGAAGTGTTTTTTGTGGACAGCCAGATTCAAACAGTACCTAAAGGAGCCTTTGCTGAAAACCCACAGTTGGAGAAAGTGGAATTCATGACCACAAACACCACATCCATTGAAGTGGGAGCTTTTGAAGGTTTGGTGAACCTCAAGAGAGTTGAGATCTCCAACAATCCATTAACTTCAGTTTCAGTGGGAACCTTTAATGATGTCATCAATCTGGAGACACTTATTATAAAGTTTAACAAGCTTCAAAAACTTGAGAAAGGTGTATTTGAAAATCTTAGTAACTTAGAAGATCTACAGATACATGGAAATGAGATCGAGTTTATTGAAGAGCAGACATTTGATGATCTCGTCAACCTTCAGAAGCTTAACTTGGGCAAAAACAATCTTACAGCTGTATCAACAACCTGGTTCTCTAATCTGAATAAACTAAGGACTTTTCGACTTTATGAAAATCAGCTCAGCAGCGTTCCTGAAGATCTGTTCGTAAACCTACCAAACTTAGATGAAATAGGTTTGCATGGAAATAAAATAAGAGAACTGCCACCTAATCTGTTCCCACATAAAGACAAACTGAGCAAACTGTTTTTGGAAAATAACCTTCTCACAACTTTACCGGATAAATTCTTTGTTGGCTTCCCCAAGCTTAAAATACTGACCCTAAAGAAGAACCAACTGACAAGTCTGCCGCCGGTCCTGTTTGGAGAACTGTTCAAACTGACAGAGCTGAGCCTCCAACAAAACAATCTCAGCAGTCTTCCTGCAGGAATATTCAGCTCTCTGAAGAAACTCAAGAAGTTAGATCTTTCTAAAAATCACTTTGTGACCTTGTCGTCTGACTATTTTGACGGCCCGGAGAAGATCACCGAGTTAAATCTACAGAACAACAAAATACAGACGTTGGATGCAAATATGTTTGAAAACCTACGATCTTTGAACACACTCAAGCTTGCCTACAACAAAATTGAAAGACTTCCTGCTGATGTTTTTGAGTCTTTATCCAAACTTGCAAAGCTTGATCTGAGTCACAACCCCTGGAACTGTGACTGTAACCTGAGAGATTTTTATCAGTGGATGAGGCTGAATGTTGACAAGCTGTTGTCTGAGGTGGCCTGTGAGTATCCAGAACACCTGAATGGAACAGAAATCATATCTTTAACAGAGGACCAGTTAATCTGCCCCACCCTTCCACCAACAACCACAAAACCAACAACCACCACCCGCACTACCACTACACTTCCTACYACATCACCAACCACTGCACAACTAATCACCACCCACCTTACAACYACAGCAGCAGTCACCACTTTGCCCACAACAACTACCATAATCCAAACAACCACACCCACAACAACTATCAGCACAGTCCTGACCACAACTCCCACTACAACCACTACAACACCCCCTCCCACAACCATTCAGACAACTATCCCAAGCACTACAGCAACAACCACTACAACTGTACCTACAACCCCTACAACTTCCACCACAGTAACAACCAAACTTACAACTGCTTTAACAACCATACTCACAACATTTCCATTCATGACAACAACCCCAACTACAACAACCACACTCCCAACTACTCTACCAACAACCACACTCGCTACTACTCTACCAACAACTACAGTCCAAACTACATTACCAACAACACCCACACTCATAACTACAATACCAACTACAACCACACTTGCTACTACTCTACCAACAACCACACTTACAATACAAACAACTACAGTCCAAACTACTTTACCAACAACCAAACTTACAACTACATTACCATCAACTACAGTCCAGACTACTTTACCAACAACCACACTTACTACTACAATACCAACAACTACAGTCCAAACTACTTTACCAACAACCACACTTACAACTACAATACCAACAACTACAGTCCAAACAACTTTACCAACTACAACAACAACTACAATACCAACAACTACAGTCCAAACTACTTTACCAACTACAACAACTACAATACCAACAACTATAGTCCAAACTACTTTACCAACTACAACAACAACTACAATACCAATCACAACCACCACTCTCAGGCCAACCCATCCTCCACCATCTTTTTCCTACATCCATCGGATTTGTGAGAAGGTCCAGGAGTGCAAAATCTGGATGATGGTTTACGTGGCACTGCTTGTGGTTCAGATYCCGTGCATGGTGGCGTTGGCCAAGTTCACCTTTTCTCTTTACAGTCTGCTGCAGCACAGAGAAAAAATAAACAGGATCAAACTGACTCACTTCTCCTACAGAAGAGAAGTGATACTGAGGCCTGTGCAGGAAGCGGAGGCTCGAGGACTTTTGCAAACGCAACAATGGTAGAGGAAACCCTTTTACCATGACCTGTTAAARTCATTTTTATAATACTTGTTCAAAATTAAGATTATTTTTCTCAAACAATTGAAAACTTGAGATGGGCCACTTTAAGTATTCACAGCTCAAGTCAGGAACAAGCTCTAAAAGTTTCATTGTTTGAGTTAATTTCATTGCAAAGAAGTCAAAGACGTCAAAGTGTCTTTTGTTGTTTACATTTTTGTTTCAAAAGTGTTTATTTTGTTTTATTTTACCCATTATTTTATTTTTTATTTGTGTTATCCC